CTCTCCTGCTCTCTATGGTTTGTCATGTGTCAACGAATCCTTCTTTTTCTTCTGCTTGTACCCCAGACAGGATTTACTGGTCTTCACATAGGTTGATCTTGTTTGTTCCCACATAGCACAAATATCACTTGCATTTTGCTCTGTTTGATCCTCCATGCTGCTTGTGGTATTAGTAAACAAACTCATGCATGAGAAGATTAGATTTATATAATGGTAGCGAGAATTTCTAACATGTTCGTGTTTTGATATCTTATTTTTCAGCTCAGGCTCTTCACCGAATACTCGAATACCAGAATCACAAAAAACCGTGGCCGTCCATTAAACTGTCAATTTCGGAATTATTGAATCATATTATCAAACGAGTGAGCGAAGCATCTGGTTTGTACCAAATGTTTGGCGTATTAAGTGACGTCATGATATTATCAAGGTAGGATTTCAGCATTATAACAACCTTAGTGTAATTCCTGCACCTTTTCTTGCAGTGAATGGATTAATCTGTTTTTATTCTCAGAGATAGTTGTGACATACATTCATCATGCTTGAATTATTTCGCCGATTGTTGTCTCCAGATTTAATTATGACATTTAATACATTCAAATTAAACAAAGATTTTTTTTATTAATTTTTTGATATATCTTTGAAATATTAAGATAAACTTTTTTGTCTTGTGATTATTCTGACTTTCGCCTCTTTTACTTTCTTTTCTCCCACACAATTTTAATTATTCTTTCAATTTCAATTAGTGATGAAACATACGAATATCTGGAAGACTATCCACTACAACTGTTACCAAGATTTAGGAATATTACTGGGAAAGAAGCACAACGAATTATTGTATTCACTCTGCAGTATGGACCTTGGAAAGGTGGGGTGTGCTTACAATGTTGTTGTCGTTAATATTGATTGCTTCGTCTGTCTTATATTATATTATATTGTTTTATTATAATCTATTGACACATTGTTTGAAATTCACACTACCGGACTCTTTTTTTTGTAGAAAAACAACCAATGGTGTAAAATTTTCACACAAAACAAATTACAATTTTAATAGCTGTGTTAGTTTTAACTTGTCTGGTCTATCATAAAACTCTAGTTGTAAGGATAATGTCTAATTTGCATTCGATTGTTGCAAAATGGTATTTGTTGCGGAAACTGCATGAAGATTTTTTTGGAAATTAAACATCGTCCCTAAAGGGTTGCTTTGTATCGCATTATTTATTCAAAACAACATTGTGCAGTCACCTCAAGTGAACACAGGTTTCAGAAATATCTAGTTCCGTCATTATCGGGTATTAATCGGGATAATCAAAACTATTATAATTTGACGTGAAAGTGTAAGATAGCCTTGTATTCCCACTGGTTAGGATGATAATAATAATATTACGATCTTGGATTTTATTCAAAGTTCGTTTACTAGTAATGTTCTGCACCATACTTAATATATAGTATGTTGTATTTTCGTGGCATGGTATTTACACACTGATTACTATTTACGTGGTGTTTATCGAACCAGTATGATAGAGACAAACCTTCGGCGTTCAAAGATGGAAATAATATTATTTCACTTTCCCATTTTCTGTTGACTGTTTAATTTTTTTCTCTTTATTTTGTTGTTCTCCATATTCAGAAGTGGAATTAAGCTTAGCCAGCAAGGCGCACACGACCTTCTTTCTGCACCCGATTTTTCATTATTACGAGCAAATACCAAGAGGTAACTACCGTAACAAATGACATTCCTGACATGTACTATACAGCGTATTATGTGAAATATTTAGACTTTTTAAAAATATGTATTGTAATAGAGTAGGGTACATGCCAGTGAATAATGACGTAATTTGCTTAGAAGGTAGGAATTCTTTAGGCCACTTTCCAGTTTACTTTTGCGCTAATCGATAAAAGCATTATAGATATTATTGGTCAACAATTCAAATAAATATGTTGTTAATCCACAATTCGTTATAATTGTAGAAAATATGTGCAGCAAAGATTTCGATGTGGTGACGTAATGACAAACAAGAAAACAATTCAGCTCATCAAATGTTTCACATAACAACACTGAGACTCCAATAAGGCCATATAAATGATCCCGGAATGCAACTCTAACATTAAACTATCGTGAATATTACCTTAATTGCCAAATATGTAAAAAATAAATAAAAAATCCATCAACTGTAAACTGTAAGAGTATTTTTACCATAACTATTTGTGTATTTTGTTGATAGATATGATTATGCATAATAAGCATTTAGACAACGGACTGCCTCGGCCAACCAAAATGCACCATATAACATCAGATCTTATGACGTCATGGTCTGCACCTAACAGGTGAATTACAAATACTCTATTTATCTTACTACGCCATATATCGTAGTGCTCGAAATTTGTTTTGTGTCGGTCATTCGTGTGACAAAAATATATATTTAATGGTACAATCACATATCGACCAAATAATATCTTTACGCAACTTAGCAAGAATGTCATTTTTTCATAGTTGACGTATTAATAAAATTATTTTATCAAAGCTTAAATTCCATTATAATACAAAGAACAAGTTTGTTTATTTATTATGCGAATGGTCACAAGCTGTGGACAATTAAACTGACACGTCAGTTGAGAGAGATTCATATCAATAATAGTAAATGAATGTTTCATCAAATTTCTCCGATCAAAGTTTCGAGATGGAGAAATTAGCATAAATAGAAAAATATGTAATATTCATTTTAACAAGAACTTCTTTGGAACAAAAACAAATGTTAATTAATTTCGATTTTGGAGCAAAGGGATGAGTTTATCGGACAAATTTGGTTGTAATTTGCATCTGAATATAATTGTTATATCTTGCGTCATATTCTATCACTTCGTCGATTCCTGGAGTCCTGTGTAAGGCAGGGTCTGCGATATAATTACGACGATGAGTGTTTTCAACTGACTATAACGCACAAGAACCCACCAATCGGGTGTCAACAATCCTATGTGAGTGGTTTGAGGATTTCGAAATCAGCTGGATATAGCGAAACGAATGATACAGCTGTGTACCATGTTTCGTTAGCTTAACAATATCAAAATAAATAAATTTAATTTGATTGAAATTAATTTGCTGTATGTTGCTGTAACCCACCAATCGGGTGTCAACAATCCTATGTGAGTGGTTTGAGGATTTCCAAATCAGCTTGATATAGCGAAACGAATGATACAGCTGTGTACCATGTTTCTGCTTACAACTTTGTAAGCAGTTAGTCTTCCATTTTTCAGTTCTCTGTCGAGATATTCTGCATGTATACGGGCATTTTCTAGTCATTTATTCAATGTTTTCGAAATATAGCTGCGAGGTTGTCATGACAATGACTTAAGTCAAACATACAAGTACCTCCACCAACATTTCAATCGCTTTACACAATTTTACAACATTTTACAGTCATCTCATGTGACGATCTGCTATTATAGGCTTCTTTCCTCTGGCTTTTAATCGTTTTTTTTTATTTTACATCTGTGGGGTTTGATATGCCAACAACTGAGGTCAAATATACAAATGCATCCTACCAACTTTGCAATCGCTTTGCACAACTTTTCACGGTGTACGTATTGTCAGCTTAAAGCCACTATGTGCCGATCGCATCAAATAACTTGTTAGTTGGTCATTAGAAGATGTTTGAAAACTTGTTGATTTTTCTAACCATATCTTTTGTTATTTCGAAACAGTATTTTGCGACTAACCAACAAACATATGCAGGACACCTTTTACAACTTTCCACTCAACTTAATCATCATTCCAATCAACAATTGGGTCTTTCTAAAACGCATTTTAGATTTTTCGACCAACTTCTAATGCTTTCCAAACAACTTTTATGTCTTTCCAAGCAAAGTTTACAACTTTCTGGCCATGATTACTGACAAACCACCCAACATTTACCACTTTCTCTATATTCAACCAATCTTTTTCGTCTTTCCATTCAACTTTTTTCACACAAATTTTAAGATATTTCAATCAACTTTCATCCAACCAACTAACCACCTAAAAGTGACCACATTCAAAGGATTGTTTACATCATTATATCCTACTTTTACCATATTCACTAGCTTATCATTAAACAAATTATCACCCCCTTAACCTAAGTGCAGAAAATTTGGCAAAAGAAAGTCTGGTGGTGTGAAAAGGTTAGAAAGACAATAGTTGATCACAGCTTTCTCGACTTAAAATGTGTAGTTTCAGTACTGTACAGATGAGGTTATTATGACACTGCCAATGTCTGTATGAGCAA